ACTTGAAAAAATATTAATATTTAGCAGTAAAAACTATAAAATAGAAAATCTATTTACCAATATACTTTATTCTTATTTCTTAACTTATTTATGTTTACATAGATAACATTTTTATTTTTAATACATCAATTTTTACCTATCAGGAAATATATTTATTTTTCTAAACAATTCAACTATTTATTTATTTTTATTTATTTTTTTGTATATCAATATAAAGAGTTATATATAAATAGATGATAATATTCTTGTTGTTGTTGTTAATTTTCTTCATTGAATATAGTTCAATTTTCGGTCATTAGTTTTTTCCACTATCTCCAGAACTTATAAATACAACACATAGGCGGCGGAACCATTAGGCTTCGGGAGGCTCAAGCCTCCCCTAAATTTGAATAATGAAGGTTTGGGGCGGCTGAACTTATTCTATTTTTCGGAAAGAATCTTAGACGTTATGATAAAAGGATCGAATAAATAAGTTCTTTTAAAAACAAAAGATGGAGGATCTGTGTCGTTTTCAAAAGCATCACGTAGTTGAACAAGATATTTTAGTAACTGAGAATCGTACAAAAATCTTCACTATTAATAAGATATTTTTCCTAGAATAACTTTTTTCGAGAAAGCTAAAGTTTAATGTACTGAAAGTCAAATAAGGTTCTAATAAACCGGAGCTATTATCATATAAACCGTAAAATTTAGGATTCGGACGTACATAGAAAAATGACGCAGTTGTCTTCGTTTGGTATAGGAAAATAGAAAAAAAAAGGGAAGAAATGAAATGAAAAATTTTAATAATTCTCAAAAAAGACGAAAGAAATCATAAAAATATATAAAACGAATAGATAAAATAAAAAGAGAAAAAAGATAGGCGTGCACATTTTCTATCTAAAAATATTCTCAGTAGATGCGCTTCAGTGATTTTTATTCTGCTACCTCTCGTTCTCAAACTAACAGAAAGTAAAAAGGTACGTTACTTATACGAATAAAAGCACATGTTTTATCGTGATAATTTAAAAAAAATAATACAGAACGTTAAAAACATTGACTCTCAACAGTCCACTTCCTTTCCCCGATATATATTTGCGTATATATAAAAACTTCGACGTTTTTATCTCTTTCGGAAGTGCGTAGTCTTTTTTATGAATCAGATAAACTTCTTTTAAACATCTCCATTTTTCATGCTTCAAAAAATGATACTATTTATTGAAACTTTATTCCAAGAACTCAGAGTAATTACAAGTTTTTTTTCTTTCCTAACACTCTATGTAAAGAAAAATGTTTGTTAGCAAAATTATGAAAAGTAATGTAGTTAATACTTCTGTGGATTCTCGAGGAAAATTTAAAAACTTCCATAAATTACTTAGTATCTTTCAACTCTCATATTCCAATTTTTTATTTATTTTTTGAGTCTCCCCTAAATTTACTTTGCTCCGCCGCCTATGATACAACATGAATATTAATATTAACAAATAAATTATTTTATTTATTTTTATTTCTAATATTGATCATATTATTGTCATAGGAATAAATTATAATCTTGTTCTTAATAGTTAAATGTATTATTCTATATATATTTGATTATCTAAATGAACAAACTCTATATATAATTACCATGTCATATAGTTCCATAAATAAATAAATAAATAGTTGAATTGTTTAGAAAAATAAAGATGAAAAAAATATATTAATTATTTTTGTTTAGATTTATTTAAACGTGTTGATATTATTTGCTCCCAATATTTCATTTCATATTTTCAGGTTGTTCGTTTCAGTCAGAGAATACTGAAGGAACCAGCAGGAAAGGTGCGGAAAAGTTGCCGTATCCTGCAGGAAAATAGCAAAAATTACTGAAACATGGAAGTAAGATTCCGATCGGTTATTGTCAAAAAAAAAAAAAGAGGAATTAATTGAAATTCAACATAAAAGACTTCGACAAGTTTCCAGGTTGAATAGTGCTTCGATGTTTGGTGTGAGTGTGGTTGTGGTTGTGGTTGTGGTTGTGGTTGTGGTTGTGGTTGTGAGTTTGTATTAGTATTACCTTCACACACAACGAAATCCTCAGCTGAGAATTGTTTATAGCAATAAAAAAAATAATAAAGACCATTTGTTCTTGTTAATAGTGTTTGCCTTACAATCAGTCTAAAACCGTTTATAAATCTGAGAAAAATACTTTCACTATGTTTGATCACATGTTTTTATTGAGTTGAAAAGTATAGGTAAAAGGTTTTGGATAATATCCATTATCATGTTCGTAATTATCGTAGATAGTTATATAGGAGTGATTAAAGTGCAAATTAAAAATGTTTTTCCAGTTGATAGGATTCTCTGTTAAACTAACAGTCACACATTTTAATGAGAAAAAGCGAATAAAACAAGATAAACTTTTATCGAAAATATAATTTTCTAGGATATCTTTGACAAATCTGTCAGTGAATGTTGACATAAGAAGACAATGTGAGTTTTATAAACGTTGTCCACGAGAGCAATTTGTGTGTTCCAGTTTAGAATATTGAGAGACCTTTTTGTTGAAATTGTATTGATATAAGATGTAAAATATATGATTAATAATCTGGCATATAATATTCGAGTGAACATTTAACTGGTTGAATAGAAAAATGATTTCGATTTAATCAGAGTTAAAATAATGGTAAAAAAGTGAAATTGCAAAGTATTTTCGTTGCCGAAAGTTTGTTTAATGATTTGAAAGAAAGAATAAAATAATGTTTCGTTTTTGATATATTTCATTTAATTTTAATTTTGATAAGATAATTTTTGTTGAGTTGATTAAACTGAAATTGATGTTAGTATATATTTATTTTCTCTGAATATATTTAATAGATATAAAACATTATCATGATTTATTAGTATAGAGAATATTTTTCATTATTAACATTTATGAAATATTTCGAATGATCAATTAATATTTCATAGTTTACAATGTTAATCGATATTTATCTATTGATATACTCTTATTGTTTATCTATTAATTTTTTATAATGTTATTATTATTGTTATTAAAAAAACTGTAAAGATTTGTTATGTTACGATGATTGTCATTATATATGATTGATAATAGAATTTAAATATTTAGTCTTCTGTGATTAAGCACGTGATTAAAGTATTACACAGAACGAGATACAAAACAACAATAGTTACTAAAAAGCTTCTTTTTTTTTCTTTTCTTCGGTACTTGTCATACATAGGTAAGAGAAAATGCGAAATATCATTTTTTTTTTTCATTCTATTCGTTTGTCTTTTTGCGTTGCACATAGTTTGTTCCTTTTTGTTCTGCCTCTCATTATTTATGGTTCTCTTTGAATAGTAGACACATAAATCGCACATATATTGTCATATCGGTTTGTTGTTATGACATAATGACGTTATTTTCGTCTGATATGTCTAGTTGTCATTTCACGTTTCACGTTTCTATTTTGTATTTATGTTTTTGTCTGTCATATTGTCTTTTAGTTAAAATTATTTGTATTTTCAGAGTGTATTGCATTGAAACATTTATCATTTTACTTTATTTGTCTCAATCAACTATCCTCTCTTGATAAACGTATTCAAGGCAATTTTCGTCATAAATTACATGGATTCATTTGCAGCTGGTGCTATAGCTGGTGTCACTGAGGTTTTAATTATGTACCCACTTGATGTGGTGAAAACAAGATCTCAATTATTTGTTGGCAAGAGCATGGGAATAATTACCTCATTTAGCAATATTATTAAAGAGGAAGGAGTGAGTCGTCTCTATCGTGGTATTATTCCACCAATCTTAATGGAAGCACCAAAAAGAGCTACAAAATTCGCTGCAAATGACATATGGGGTCAATGCTATCGAAAATGGTTCGGCGTCAATAAGATGAATCAAAGTTTAAGTATATTGACTGGAGCCAGTGCAGGAGCTACAGAATCCTTGGTTATTGTACCTTTTGAATTGGTTAAAATAAGATTACAAGATAAGAAAAGTGCTCATCTCTATCTAGGTATGTTTTTATCTTTAAATTTAAATTAGATTTTTATTTTTTGGCTAACTAAAAATTTAGATTGGATGGATTATAGAAAATAAAAGATATATATTGATAAGAAGATTAATTTCAATATAGAATTATATGACTGGTTAAGATTTCTTTTAATAATATTGACGAAAAGAGAAATTTTGAATTTGATTTGGAAAAATGAAGTTGAAATACCTTGTAATAAGAGCAAAAAACCGATGGAGAACTTAATTTTACACAATAAAGTCTTTTTGATCAACTTGAGAAAAAATTTTCTTCTTCATTAAAAAGTGAAAATAGCTTCGAATTATATTTTCCAAGGTTTTCAACCAATATTAAAACTTTGCTGAAGCTGATTCAAAAGACTTTTTGAACAAAATCGAAATTCAGATGTTGTTAGCGATTATTGTGAGATCGATGAAGGTTATCTTCAGAAAATAAATATAAAAGTTCGCTTTTTCAAAGGCTCTACGAATAAAGCTCAATCATATATATGCCCAACTAAAATTATACTGGAGACCTAAATTATGAAGATCGACTATTCTTGAGTATCGTAATGCATTCTGAGACATTTTTTAAATTGCTTTTCATTTTTCACTATTCGGAACTCAAAATGAGGCCACTTTTATCGTGTTTTATCTCGTTGATTGCATTTTTAAAATCAAATAGGCATTTCCACCACTTCTGCTGCAAACATAACGCGTTTTTCTATTATAATTTTAAATCAGAATCGATAGAATACCCGTTTTTCAACAAAATTAACTTGAAGTTTCGCACGATTTCGATTGAGAAATAATCTTCTCTCGTCTTTTTTTAATTGTTTATTTTCGTTTTGTATATAAAGTCAAGTCGTTTCCTATTTACATATTCTAGATAGTCCATTGTTTATTGCTTGATTTTTCACACCTTTTTGTTTTTTACTAATGATGGCAAAAACGAAAATAAACAATTAAAAAAAGACGA